TACTTATAACATGACGAGTGCTGATTGCACTGATCTTGGCAACTGCACGCAAGACACAACCGGAGAGGACCTTGTTCTTAAATGCACGGAACAAGAAGAGATGCTGAACTTAGTTTACACAGTTGCTATGGTATCTTTAGTTGCTCTCCTTGTGCTTGGGTATATTTATGATCACGGTGGGACAGTATGTGTGAGAATCATATCTATGTAAGTATATGAGCGCGTTCAGAGCAATTTAATCCGCGGTCTAACAGATCCGTGGATCAAATATGGCGCCACCCACTTGAAAGCGTGCCGAGATTTAATTGTGCTGTGCCCCTGCTGGAACGGTGAGTGGGTGTGTGTTTGTGTGTTTGGTGGGGGGGGGGGATCCACCATCAAGAGGGCGCCATATTTAATACTTGGATAAGTTGGTCCGCGGATCAACTTTGTCGTGAATGCTTTCTGTTTCAATCAAGCCCCTGTAGCAGAAATGGAAATCTGCTGAGAATAGTTGTCCTCATTTCCCCCATTACTTTGTAAAGGTAACGTACTTCCCATATACTAACATCAACACTTTCCGGCTATACATGTAACATTTACCCGCACTAACCATATTGAACTTCGATGTAACGAAACCGATGACTTTGTTACAGAAAGCCCGCCCTCTATATAGTCACGATGGCTAGGATTAGCCTGACTAAAGTAGGTCAAAATTTATGGCGAGACTTATACCTGTACGAATGAATGGGAAGCGGACTCTCTATCATGGGGGACTCTCTGTTACGTTACACAGGACTTCTATACTTCTAAGACTTCCATCTCCAACACAAGGCTTGCTACACTTTGCACAACGAATGTTGGCCCCCTTTCACAAATACATGTATATAACAACATAGGCCTACAGCCAAACATATATAATATAAAATAAAAGACCGCAACATTAAAGTCCATTTTAAAACACCTATCCGTGAATGTGATGTTAACTTCCAAACATTGTCATTATTCCAACTTTTAATGTGGTTGGAAAGGCCAACGGTTATCGAAATGGTCCCAAGCTCGGTTGTAACAGGAGCCCCACACGTAGAGGCTCACAGTTATACATGACTGTTGTTGTTGCCATGATGGTAAATTCATCTTCTTCATTTTTTTAAGCTGGTACACATATTGGTAGGCTCCATATGCACCTGCAATAAACACTAAGAGCTAAGAGGGCACATTGATATTTTCAATCATATCAGTATGCCTGAAACACTTGATTAATTCTTGACATTTCCTTTAAGATGCCTGTTGTAGTGATCCGTTAATTAGAACTGAGTCTTCTAAATTTGCATACATCAGATATGTATATATTTGTACGTTTTAATTATTCAAATATACATAGACATGACATGTTGCATGGCAGTTTAAGAGAAGTTCATTTAAAATGCAAATCAAGATTTAATTTAAATGTATCTACAATTAAGTTAATGTACATAGGCATGGCATGTTTCATGACAGTTATGAAAGCTAATTTGAAATGCAAATTAAGATAGAGTATAAAGGCAGTGACTGAGCCACAGAGACGGGGAGACTTACAGACTGAGAGAGTTAGAGATAGTTATAGATACGGTAGAAGAGACCCGAGTCTTCAGGCGCTTGAATAAACCATGTAACAGAAAACTATTCCTGCCTGTCTCAGTTGTCTTATTGGTGAAAATGTAACTCTTAGAACAAGTGTATAACCACCGACCGGTTATTACAAATGGCGAGCTCCCAGGTTTCACCTTAAGCAGCTGAGACAGAAAGGCAGTTTATAGTCAAGATGCTGCATGAAGACGAGGACCAGTATGAAGACCCAGACATCTGCAGCAGGCTGTTAGATTGTCTAGGTGGAATCAGTAGTGTTCTGAAGACGCAGGAAACTAGCAAAGAAGATGCACTTTTATTGTCAAATTCCCTTGCAAATCTGTGGGAAGTTATGAAAAAAGAAACAACAGAGTTTGACAACAGAAACGAACTATCTTTCGAAGCAATAATACGTAGCATTCAGATGGAAGCGGGGCAGAGAAGCAAAATGGATGATGACAGGTGTGGTGAAGATACCGTAACATGTAAAGAAGTTGGAGAGAGGATCCAAAGCAATGAGATTGTGATCAGCGGTGTTGCTAACAAATCTCCAAAAGATGAATTCCCTGGTGCCGAGATGTTGCAGCTCCCCGATGGAGGCAACAATAATGTGGTCAGTGACGTTGCTGACAAAGCAAAATCTCCCGAATATGAGATTTTGAAACCCTTTATGACCAGTGGTGATTCTGATGTATTAAATTCCCCTGATGCAGAAATGTTGCTGTTCCCTGGTGAAGAGAGGTTGTCGCCCAGTGATGCTGAACTGTTGAAGTCTACTGATGATAAGATGAAGTTTCCCTGTGAGAAGATGATGAAAACCCCTGATGTCGAAATGCTGCGTGTTGAAGAAATGGCCACCAATAAGACCAAACTAATCGAAAATGAGTGTTTTCAGGAAGACAACGAAGAAAATTACGAACAAGCGAAGGAAAAGATTGAGCAAAAGAGATACTATGAGGACAATGACGGTAATGATGAACAAGTAATGGAAAAGGAAAAACTGCATGTTGGAGAAACGGACAATGATAAGGCCAAGCTGTTTGAAAATTTGTGTTACCATGAGGACAATGAAGAAAATGACGAACAAGTGAAGGAAGAGAATGATCTGCGTACTGAGGAAAGGGACAATGATATGGTGAATTTGAATATACCTGCTTATTACAAGGATAAAAACAGAAATAAAAAACAAGGGAAGAAAACGAATGACTTGTTTGATGTTTTAGAAAGAACTGAAAAACCTCACTTGAAAGGTATAGAGAAATGGAGGTACCCACCTCATTGCAAAATAAGGCATTTTTCTAATAAGTAAGTTGTCCATGAGTAATTTTTAATAATTATTTTTTCTTTTATTCAATGTATAAAAAAATGGAGGTATCAACTTCACTGGATTTTTTTCAATAAGGCTACTTAATTGTCCTAAGATTGATTTTCATGAAATTTTCTGTTAATTTTTATATGTGGCACTTTCCTTTATTTGCATCCGATTTTTTTAAAATGCATGCACCAGTTTTTATGTTGTGAAATGTGTACTATCTATTGACTGATTTAAGTAAAAGATGTAAGGCAGTAAGATTTTTATTTTTAAATATGTGTGTATGTCTATGCAAAGCTTAAGTATGTATAAAAGTCCTTAAATGCTTATGTGAAGCTATAGTTGTTTTATTATTGTTTAAATTGTTAAAAATTGGTTAAATTTGATTAGAAGATGTTCATGTACTTTGTATTATAGCTTAACATTCTATTAATTACAGTGTATAAACAGGTGTCAGTGAAATAGGTTTTTTTTAAAAAAAA